CCTAACCCAGGGTGAGTATAGGATTAGAATTCTGCCAGTCTTGTAGGAGTACTTTGCACTTTGAATGTGCGAAGCACTATTTGGTGGATCAGTCTTCACCGGCCATTAAGGGCAGGACAATCTGGTCGATGTTGCCGGAGCAGCAGGCCAGTTGAACTGCTCTTCGAAGAATTCTGCCCATCGTCCAAGACGTCGATGAATGTTAGTGATTGGCATCATATCATCCTCACAGATTGTTTCACTCACATCAGACTTCTTGCTGCCAGTGGCTCGGATAAGTTGGATGAGCTTCCGGCAGTTACCAGATACAGCTGCTGTTTCCAGCTCATTAGCACACTCCGACCATCAGGCTTCTCGGTCCCTACACAAGCTTTGCCCAATTTCACTACGCAACAGCCTTCTTTTGTCGTCAAACTTCCGGTCACCCGGAATAGACCGACGGGCTTCCATCAGTTGTAAGGAGCCACAAAAGACCCAGTGCTTATAAAAGAAATGTTTCGCGAAGCGTCGGGATGGCGTGATGCAATTGCAACCAATACTCATCCATACTTTTTGATGGGATGGTAGCTAACCTAGAAGCTATCTCGGCTCGGTACTTACTTGCAACAAAAGTTGCAACCAGTTTACTAACATCAATCCGTTGATGACGGTCAATTCGTTGGCCACTGAAATATAAGATAAGATTGGTGCAGACCAGGGATGATCAGACTCCAGATAGGTACTCCAAAAGGAGCGGCAGTCTTGTAAACAACCATCGCTATGTGATCAATCTGAATTCAGGCTTGAGATGCAGAGGAAGGACGCCAGGTGGCAAATCGGCGATGGCTGTGCCAGAAGTTAGTGCTAGCCAGAAATAGGTTGTGGTCTGTGCACAGTTGCAGTAGATGGTCCCCGTTATCTGTCATATCACCAACAAGACCCCATCGACCGACTAAACGACTCTCTTCAGCATTCAAGTCTCCGGCTAGTACTACAATATCTGTCGAACCCACTTTCTGGAGAAGGACAGTTAATTGGTGGTAGAATTCATCCTTGATTGCATCCGAGCTGCAATCTGTTGGAGCACAGGCAGAGATGATAAAAAGACATCGTTTCTCACACCGATTTCTTCTCACTTTGATGGAGCTTTCTAATCTAACAGCACATAACCGACTGTTAATGGGGATCCAGTCGATTACTGCTGCCTCAGCTCCAGAGCTTAGTGCGACACCGACGCCAACTAAAACAGACGAAGATGCCACAGGGTCCCAGGATAAACGCACGTGAAACAGGCTTTTCGAGGCGACAGATGGAGAGCGAATTCGCAGTACTTTACTAGAGTCTTGAATAAGGGTTTCGGATAGACAACAAACGTCGATATTAAGACTTCCCGAAGACATAGTCAGCCCTATCTGTTGTCCGATCTGCATTAGTGTGCGAACGTTGAAGGAAGCCAGTTTGGATGGTGTACGTGGTTTCAGAAAGACTGGTTCAGTATACGTATTCAGTGGAAGCATTCACTTTCGTCCAGACAGTGACTGGAGATTGTTTAGAAAGAAGAGAGTTTCCACCATGGGCGAGCTGCTGCATGAGTTGAAAATTAAGGATACACAAATTAAGAATAAAAGGGAGTGAATAAACAAAGTAGTAAATAATAATAATAATACTGTAAATTATCTGACCATTAATAGGAGCGAGAAAAGCATTGTCAGTAGAAAGCATCATTTCATTTATTTGTGCAAGGGCTGTGATACTGCCCGGATGCCCAGACCGAAGCAGGTGGTTTTCTTAGGGGGCCACACCCAGAGCCTTTGACCTAAAGGTCAAACCCACAACGCAGTGGAGCATTGTGAGGAGATGCAGTCTCATGGTAGCCGGTGACTAACAAATGGTTCATACGCTATTTGTTCCCTCAGGGCACTGGAGCCCATGTGCACCACTGGTTTGGAATCAGGATTTTCCAACTCCCCTAGGTTTACGCTTATTATTATTATTATTATTATTATTATTATTATTAATGGCTTTATTCAATATCATAATCTGGTACAATATAGAATTCTCAGCACGAGTTATTTCAACAAGTTTTTTACCAAAACAAAAAAACAGAAAAGAAATGAAAAAAAAGGTTTAAAAAAATCTGAGTCTGTATAAATTATCAAATTTGAGACATGCTTAAGAATACAGGTTATTTACTAGGTCAACTCTAACAAAGGTTAACGTTTACAAACGTAGCTACTCCGCCGCCACAAATCTTTTTTATTGTTTGATCGATCCTGACGATAGATATTGAAATCATGTAATGATACTAAGCAATCGTCCTGTAAGTCAGTTAACCAAGATTCTTGAATTGTAATGACACCACAATTACGATACATGTTTTGACTTAGTAGAAATTGGAGATAGTCCACCTTGTTAATTAGAGATCGACAATTAGAATTAAGCAGCTCTGGAATCGACATTTGATTAATGTTCATTCTCTTTAATGCATATTGCCAACCACCACGATGTCTCTTATTGTACTTGTTTGTGATTTTTGCAGCGAAAGGACGTAAGCTTTTCATAAACGCGCCTGTATAGGTTATGCGATTAATAGACATAATGATAAGTTAAAACAAATAAAAAAATCCCAGATAACTTGTTGAAATATTTAGATGGTAGAAACAGGTAGCCCAGGTATTCAAGTAGGCCGCCAAAAATGGTGGACTTTCCGTGTCCACCAACCAGGTTAAAGCGCTGAGCATTCGCTTTTCGTTCTCTCATTTTCGTAAACAACACCCCCGCCATGAGAATGCAATGAGTAGGACTTCCCTGGCAGAGGCTATATACGCGTGACCATGTGAGAGCGTTTCGAGAGAGGGGTGGTGGCCCCTCCCCACTCTCGGACGTACCAGGGCATTTGGGGGCAGGAAATAGGAAATAAATGGTATGTTTCCAGGTAAGTGATTCAAGAATCTCTATTGACATCTTGTAATGATAAACTGATGAAAGTAACTTTATAAAAAGCTGCTAACAATAAACTGATGATATATTTGTAATATTCCGAAGAGTAGAAATCAGGGCTTTGTAGCTTAGTTTAAATTGCTTATTCAGGTAGTAAATAAATAAATAACCGAATAAAATTAACACAAGTTTAAACCTTGTGCTTATAATATCTTAGATGGTTATACACTATTTCTCACATGCCTATTTTTCAATCTGTTAATGAGAAAGAATAAGGATTTTTTAAGTCGAGGTGGGTTGAAACTAACTCTTCTGTATAACAAGTAAAACAAATTTAGTTAAATTAAGAATTCTTTAGTTAAAATTATTTTTATCAGAGTCATTCATAAGGTTTTAAAGAAGTAAATTTTGAAACCATATCTGAATATTAGTTTAAGCAAAGAAAAAAGTCAATGTTTGTAGGATAAAATGAAACTATTATGTTTCGTTTCTCTATCTTCAGGTCCATATGAACTATTAAGTCCAATTCTTTTGAAATGTAAACATACTTGTAAACTAAGAAATGAATTGTTTTTGAGAGAATATAGAATTTTTTTGAAGATGAAAGTGTAATGAAATTGATAGTTCAAGAATATTGGAGATGACTTGGTTATACAATTAGACAAAGGCTGACCAAGAACATATAAAATAAGAAACAAAATAAAACATTCACAACTGAACTCACTGTTACTTACTTACTTACGTACGTACGCCTGTTACTCCCAATAGAGCATAGGCCACTGACAAACATTCTCCAACCCACTATGTCCTGGGCCTTCTTTCCTAGTTCTATCCAGTTGTTGTTCATTCTTCTCATGTCTGTCTCCATTTCTCGGCGTAATGTGTTCTTTGGTCTTCCTCTTCTCCTTTGGCCTTCAGGATCCCATGTGAGGGTTTGTCTTGTGACGCAGTTGGGTGCTTTCCTCAATGTATATCCTATCCACTTCCAGCGCTTCTTCCTGATTTCTTCCTCCATGAAATCACGGTACAGCAATTATAATCAAATGATAGATGAATTTAAATGACACTACCTTTACTTTTACGAAGACTGACAGTTAACCTCTGACTCTTTTAGATACAAAAGTCAGGTTTCAACCTTCTTGTTTTAATAGTCTTCATGAATTTCAGTTAGATAGAGTCTTAGTTTTTATTAATTGTTCTAAATGCTCTCCTTTAATTCAATTTTGTGTCTTGTATCCAGCAGGTGGCACACAACCGAACTTCGAAGACTGTTTTACCTCTACATACTTAGGCTCTTTGGAATGTAATGTAATAAAACACGAGGATGCTAGCCTTTTTGTTCTTTCAATAAACCTGCTTTGGCACTTATAAATTACTAAATAAAGCTGGTGGTTTGTTACGAGTATTCGGCTAAAAGTATGCTTTGACGTATAAATAGTGAAATATTTTCTGAACTTTCCTCATAATATTACAACAGGTTTAGAGACTAAAAAAATACTTCAGCTGGTGAATGGTAGACTAAAGAATAGATCATTAAAATAATTTCTAAGTTGTCTACAGGTTTATGAAACTATACAAAAGTTCAATGAGTAAAAGTATTTTGAATAACTGTTGATATTTTTATTACAAAATGATTGTAACCGGAGAATTATTAAGAAATCGAGGATCATTGATTCTCCAGGTGATGTCAATTTGTAGTGAATTTGACCTTAACTGACATTTGTACATGAATATGATAATGAACAAAGTTATACTCTTTTTAATTTTATAAGTTCCGTACAAGTTTTGTCCTTTTTCGATACACATTTCCTGGGTCCCACCCTATAAACAGCTAAAAGTCCACTCAAATAAGTCACATTCATTATATAATAAAGTACCCTCTATGAAACATCTAAGCGTGTTTGTTCATTTGATGACAATCGACGAGTCTATGCAACCAGAGTTATAGTGTTATTTTATTAATCTATCTACCTATCTACCTATCTGTCTATCTACCTACCTACCTATCTATCTATCTATCAACCTATATATAAATATGGATAGTTAAAATTAAAATGAATGATATAAATTTCATTGGTGTTTATCGTCTAAGGTCAGAAACATTAATAATAAATAAACGAAAAGATTATCACCTGAGGAAAATTAATATCTGATTGTTTAGAAAAAAAAATCATAAAATGACTGCTGTTACCCAATCTCAAATAGATCATTTGATAACTGAATTAGAACCGCAAGTGGACACAGAAGCACATCAGGAGGAACTAGGCTTAAAAGTGTATGAATGGTAAATATAACAATGATGTTTATCGGTCTGTTTGTGTTTCTTTTTGAACATATTAGCTTTCTAAAGGCTAGACCAGAATATATTTGTAAATTTTCAAGACTTCAAGGACTTGATGTTAGTAATTTTGCACAAACAGAAGGGCTCAAGTACTATGCAAGAACTTTTGTTTCGGCTCTTTTGCCGATAATTAAAGCTGCAGCAAATAAGTGTGAATTAGATAAACTTTGCTTGAATGAAGCTGTTGTGCACAGAAACCGTCAAGTTAACGAACAAATATTTCTAGTAAGTGAATTCTCGACATTTACATGTATTTATTTCATATGTTTTGTAAGCGCATTTCACAAATTGCCAGTTCAATTTAAACAATTTTTAGTTCTCCATATAGTTTATTGGTATGATGAGTATTATCATTAAGCACTAGCGAAATATTAAATTACTGATTACAGACGTTGTGGGAAGCTACTCTTCCCTAGAAAAATGTTTTTCCATATTCTAGATTTTCTTCAGGTAGTTTCACTTCCGTTTACCTTAGGTAATATAGATACTTCAACGTCAGTTAACCTGAAGTCAGTATCAGAGAGTAATAAGCATTTATTTTTTGTCGCTTTCTGAAAAATAACGTAATATGGAATAAACTGTTTACCTCTGAATAGACTCTAACTATTATCCATGTTCTGATGAGGTATACTAGTTTTAGGAAATAGCTGGAGAATCTTCAAGGTAAGATTTAATCATACCAAATAGGTTAAATGTTTTTAAAGAATCCAAGTAAATTATAAACACTTGCCACACTTTAAAAATCGAATTTTATTAAATCTGATACTTTAAAATTTTCTTTTACTTTTTTTGTGGCCCGAAACCTGACTCCGATTGGATCGTATGATTGATTGTTATTGAAATATACATGTTGGCTATCCTAGTACATTTCATCGACTTAATTCGTTTCAGTGTATAACGAAATTAAATAAGTCAAATACGAGAATGAAGTTTTGAATACGTATATTTTGTGCACCCATTGATCTGGACAGACAATTAGAGGAACGAAGCAAAGAGAGCGAAGTGAAATGCCACGCGGTGGAGAGGGCGTGTGAGCCAACTCCATTTAATTAATAGTTAATGTATATTTATAGTCAGATAAAAATAAGTTACATACATGTGATGAATAGGATAAGAAGTGTATACACATATTCGCTCATATAAAACAGGGTTAATAATTGAATAATTAACAAGGTCAAAACGTGACTCAAGTAGAATGGATAAACTAACCTGTCCAGAATCTAGAATAGGGGTAAATGGGCTTAACATAGTAACCGACACTACACTTTATAATCAACAGTGAGATGATCTTATTAATTTATTCAGTAAAAGTAAGATAAATTAATTTCAGATTTTACAATTAAACTATAATCATAATTGGATAGTGGCTAGCAGTGGAATCCAGCACGCGCGTTTCGTCCTATTTGGGACTCGTCAGCTGGATGTACCTGCATCTCAGAGTTGATGCTCACTCTGGGACTCGAAACTTTCGCTTCAAACGCCATCGCGTTATCAACTCAGCCACTGTTGCAGTCCTAAAACATCAATAGGAAGATTCAGACAAACAATACTAAGTGAATTTATGATCATAATTGTTTCTAATAAATACCTTATAAACAGATAAGATTTAACTATAAGAATAATATCTACTTTAATTGATCCTCTTTAATTATAAATTTATTGATTACATGCCTTTTTTCAAAATAAATTCACTAAATGATTAAATTCAATAAATTAATATATCATATTGAACACTTTAATTGTAAAACTTTTATTATATAAAATGAGGACAAAGAAAGTTTATCTTCATTAATATTAATTATACTAAATAACTTTCATTTATTATTTTTTAGGATTCTATGCCAATATTTATTGATTTTTTTAACAATTACATCAATGATCAACAAAATAAAGAAACAATGAGTAAAATATTGACTTACGTTTTTAAAACAATCGGTTCTCAAATTTAACAAAACAAAGTAACTCAATAAAATACATAACTTAAATTGTTTTTTTTGTTGTTGTTGTTGTGAAAATTAACCTTTTATTCTTTAAATTAATTTGACAATTTATGTTGTAAAGCTAAAAAAAATGCACCAATAAATATAATTTTATAATTAGTAATTTATAGTTACTTTATATGATCCCTAGGATTTTAGACAATTTTCAAAATGAATCATTTATTGATCAATTTAATGAAATCAAAAATATGGAATAATGAGGTCATACATTAAGAATTGGGAAGTATATATAGCGCTTTTTTAGCGAGTTCGTTTTCTACGGAATGGGGTAGCTAACCCCATGCCCAACCTTTCTACTTTACCCGGGCTTGAGACCGACAGTAACTCCCGGAGGAGCTACAGGCGGAGTTATATATATAGCATTTAATTAAAACTATTTTATTTTATATAAGAACTCTCGTCTAAATTAGAATGAATAGTTTCACAGTATTTGAGCGCCGAGTTGAAGTAAGACATTAAATAGGAATAATATATTTGTAAAATCTCAAGGAATTCCTTGAAAAAGCTTGGACCACATTGCCAGGTGAAACGTTGGATTTAATTTAAAAAAATTCATTCGCTGAGATTTTACAAATATATTATTCCTATTTAATGTATTTTATTTTATTTTTGAAAAATATTTATGTAAGGCGATAAAGTCAATCATTTTATATTATTAATTACATAATTAATCTAATGATTTAATATTAAAGATTTAAATAAAAACTACGTCACAATATTTCAAAAGTATTTTGTTTACAATATTCAAATCTAGAAATTTGATAGATTACAATAAGAAGGGGTTTTGTGAAGATTTCAGTATTTTTCATAGTTGAAATCATGAGTCAATTGAAGCTAAACCACTATGGAAAACCTGTAAGCACTGGACGGCCGTTTCGCCCTATTGTGGGACTCCTCAACAGTGCGCATTCACGATTTCGCCTCGCGAGATTTGAACCCAGAACCTACCAGTCTCGCACCAGAGCACTTAACCGATAGACCACTGAGCCGGCATCAAACGGTGTCAATGCCTAACTTCAACCAATCCACGAAATTGAACAACCATTCACCAATGTCTTCAATGAGTTGATATCTCACAATTTCGTGGATCGGTTGAAGTTAGACATTAACACCGTTGGATGCCGGCTCAGTGGTCTATCGGTTAAGCGTTCGAGTGCGAAACTGATAGGTCCCAGGTTCGAATCTCGCGAGGCGGGATCGTGAATGCACACTGTTGAGGAGTCCCACAATTGGGCGAAACGGCCGTCCAGTGCTTCCAGGTTTTCCATGGTGGTCTGGCTTCAATTGACTCATGATTTCAAATATATAAAATTGCTAAAAATTTTTCACAAAACCCCCTTCTATTAAGTTTATTTGTTGTTCATTATGAAAAAATGATTTTGTTTCTTTAAAGAAAATTATAGGACTATCAAAATCCCAACCACATTTTGAGTCATTTGGGTCGGGAAAGAATTAATTTGACCTAATTTACGTACGAATCTCCACAATTTGTTAAATAACCATAGATTACATACAATGTTGCAAAATTTGTAGAGAATATGAAAAATTTATCACTGATTTGTATAATGGAATAATTCAGTCATAAAAATAAATGATGTTAATTAACAGAATAAAAGCCTAAAATGTTCAAACTAAAGGTTTTTAAAATACTTTTCAAGTTTCAGCCAAGAATCCAAGTATATTGTACACATATCATGAAAAGTCTACAGATATATTTGTCCAATAATTTTATACGAGTTCATTTTTAAATTCACATATTTAGGTAATGTATGACAATATCATTGGTAGTAAAACTTAAAATATGTAAGGTAGATAGCTAGATAGAATATATATTTATGTCATGTAACTGTGTTTTAGCTAGGTCGTTGAACGAGATGTGCATTTCCATAAAAGCGGTCTGTATTATATTTCATCCTAATTAGCATTTCGGTTAATAGTATGATTTATGGACGGCCTTTGAGAGACATTCAAGTGACCTTGAGAACATCTACCTGCTTACTAGGGCTTAATGAGGGTTATAAATTAGTATAAGGAATTAGGATTGACTTTGTTGTTACATGGTTATGTTACCATAACATCTACCTGCTTACTAGGGCTTAATGAGGGTTATAAATTAGTATAAGGAATTAGGATTGACTTTGTTGTTGGATACATGGTTATGGTTACGGATTAGATTTAAGGCTTTCACCGCGAACTGACATCAGCTACAATACCAAAATGCTATTTAGCCAAATGGATGAATTAATTTTGCCCCAAAATCGAAGACATGCTCTCTTAAATATAATTGGTCTCTCCATAAAATCAATATCTAAGGTAGATTCGGATTCTTGATTCAGCTTCATTGATCACAGTGACAACTATTGCGAAGCCTAAACAACACTATTCAGTATAAATTAATCAGTTCTGTGTCAGTATTTAGCAGTATATTCTAGAACGGTTGGAAAATAAATTGGGACTTTTGTATGTAAACAAAATGCTAATCAATCTAACAAATAATTTGTGAATAATATATCTGAAGTATCTGATTGTTTTAGGACGCAATTTGTGTCATAACAATAATGAACATAATTTTGCTTCGTGAAATCATTACGTTTATGGTCTTTAAAAAATTAATTATAAGCTGTACTATTTGTACCATTGCAAATGTATGGTCACTTTCTCTGAAATTTGAGAAATACTATTTGAATTGCATTTCAAAAACTAATTTACAAACTATGCTACATATAAGCAAAGATGGATGGTGGTTAACAGTGGAATCCAGGACACACGTTTCGTCCTATTTGGGACTCGCCAACTGGATGTACCTGTATCCCAGAGTTGATGTTCACTCCAGGACTCGAATCTGGTACTGTTCGCTTCAAACACCATCGCATTATCCACTTAGCTTTTGCATCCTGATGGCCATTTGCTTGTGTAATGAGGTGAAGTTTAAATACATTTTGTATTATTTTGTTTGAATTTTCCCATTGATGTTTAAGAATGCAATTGAACAGTCTCTTATTGTCTACAGATAATATTGAATTTAGAAAAAATCAATGTTGTTATTACACCGATTCAAATTTGTATGGTGAAAAGTATACTAAATTATCAAGTTTTCGTAAATTTAGACCAATTAATAATAAGCGTTCATTTGTAGAGTTTCCGACAAAGGACTAAAATATTACAATAGTTGGATTTCTTACCATCGAATAAAAATTATCTTTATAGAAAGACATCATTTCGTCAAATAAGAGGTTCTATTTGTTGAATATAAATTCCGTTACTTACATTCTTGTAATTGATTCTTATATGTCGTATAAATTCAATGAATCTGATATTTAGTTTATATATTTTAGTTCTAAAAAGTTATGAAATAACCCATGGTACTCAGTTGTAAGAAAAATAAACGGATCTTAATTACAAACTTTTAGAGGTAATCCTTAAGAAATATTGAAAAACCATTACTTTTGCTTACTGGCTGTCGTTAGTATCTACCACGTTGAGGGAATAAATCTTTTTGAGATACTCAATACTTTAATCAGTGTTTTAGCACGAAGTAATTTGGGTTACAATTAATTGGTTGTAGAAATTAGTTGATTAAATTAACTGGCCAATAAGTTTAGTAATCATATAGCAAAGTTGATTGTTAGAACTCACTTAGCACTAAAGTCTATAAGGCATGGTAACAGGAACATTCGGTGATTGATTCGTGTCCTACTTAATAATGTTTGAGTAAATAGGGAGTAATAAATCTTCAAATACTTGTAGAACGACATAATGTACATCTTAACTTTGAATAAATATATTAAAGAGTTGTAGTACGTGCAAAAGTGTTTGCCATTCTCTCCCAATAATAATTATCTAAACACTTAAAGTCATCTGGTACGAATCATTGATTTAATGAAGTTCATCATCATATTCAAGAATTCTTATGTAATCATCCAAATAAAAATAACTCTTATTTTTGATCACACTGGCGAAAAACGTTTAATTAAAACATTCTGAAAGTTCAAATTTCCCCTGAAAAAGAGAAAGATTATTTAATTGATTGATAAATTTTAGTAATTAATGTTGACTATTCGTTAATTAATCTTTAAGTTATGATTTAATTTCATTACTTAAAATATTTTCAATATCATTTTAAGTATCATCTTCAGTAATTTGTAACAAAAAAAAATTCACTAGTTTTGAGATCAGCATAAAGTAATCAATAGAGAAATCTTATATAAGAACTTTCGTTTAAATTAGAGCAAATAGTTTCACAGTATTTGGGAGCCGAGTTGATTTAAGACATTGAATAGGAATAATATATTTGTAAAATCTCAGCAAATGAATTTGAAGTAAATCCAACGTTTTGCTTGGCAATCTGCTTCAAGCCTTTTCAAGGAATCTTATGGTAAGTTAAATGTTTCAAAGAGCTGTCTATTTTAATATGTTAAAAGTTATCATTAAACTTCCACTTTATTGAGCTTTCGAATATTATTAACATTCAGTGGAATACGTTATCTTCAAACTTTTAGATGTTCAACAACTGAACTTTTAAAAAATCCTTTTTAATATTAGTTCTCTTGATGTCTAAAATTTTTAATACCTCAGGAGGATAATTATTAAAACACCTGATTTAACAGAAGGAACTCGAGGAAAGATAATAAAAGTAAGTCAGATATTATATTATCGTTTTAAGATTTTGAATTTAGAAGCAAAACTTGAAATTAACAGTTGTAAGTGAATGACTCAAAAAAATATCATACCAGTTAAATAAGAGTTTCGTGAAAGAATATTTCATTTGTGATAATTTTATTATCGAAATCTGTTTTATCGTTCTTTAAATGAAATAAATTTGATTTTAAAATTTGTTCATTATCACAAAATATTCAAGTGATAATAAATGAAATTCATAAAGTGTATTACATACTTGTGAATGAAAGATAAAAAAATTACTAATAAGAAGGGGTTTTGTGGAGATTTAGTATTTTCATAGTTGAAAGCGTTAGTCGAATGAAGCTAAACCACCAAGGAAAACCTGGAAGCACTGGACGGCCGTTTTGTCCTATTGTGGGACTTCTCAGAAGTGCGCACCCACGATCCCACCTGGCGAAATTGGAACCCAAGACCTACCAGTCT